CTTTTTCTGATTGGTTACAATAATGTGTAGAGAGAAGAAAGAAAAGTGTCTATGAATACCAGATGTGTTTGTTAAAGACATTGTTTCATATGGACATACCTGTACTCGTGCTTCCGTCAAATCACATCGAAGAGCAAGTTGTTCTCGTACATAAACATCTGGATAATGAGTCTTTTGAAAGACACGTTCCATTTCTTCAAGTTGAAATGATGTAAATGTTGTACGATTTCGTCTTTTTTTTCGTTTTGTATCATTTCCATTTGAATCATTTGTTGTATCACCTTCATCTGATGATGAACCACTGTTTGTATTATTATGTTGAATACATAATTTCTTACTTGAATCCATGCATGGTGATTCTAAAGAAAAAATAATAATTGTATTCTCTCTCTTTTTTTTTTTTTTGACTAGTCTTATCTTTGAAAGCTTTCGATTTCAAAACGTAATATATTTCCCGAAGGAATGAACGGAAATGAAATCAGTAGTAATGATCACGTTCGATCTGTCTGCTTATCTCTTATTCTGTTGCAATAGGCGTGGAGGCACGCACATACGCTTGATATACCTGCTGAGCAATAACAACTCAATCATCTTGGAAGAAGCCACATCAACTAACAAAAAAGAAAAGAAGAAATCAATCTTCTCTGTGATATGTGTGTATACATCGTAAAACGTTCGCAATGTGATATGTAGTTAATGATATAAGTCATTTTGAATGATGATCATCAGTTTAAACTTTCTTTGTTTTTATTAATAAGTAAAAAAAAAAGAAAAACAATTTACCTGAATGAGGATGATGTATCATAGTAAATTGATGGCTGTGAATTGGGACTAATTGTCAATTGAAGGCAAGGTGTTAATTCAATATATTTGAACCCTTTTTCCTCTAACCGAATTTTCGACCGACTATATAATCTGTATGCGCACGGCTCTAATTTTATTAATCAGTTATCTGCAGAACCGAATGTAAGCCACCGTCGTAGTTGAGAGAGAAAGAGAGAGGAAAAGAGAGTCAATACCATTCGAATAAAGCAGTAGAATGTACTGTGTCGTTGTCGGCAAAGAAGAAGATTAATGGCAGTACTCTTATTCTCGCTTTTTCTTATTCTCCTTCTCTCTTTCCCTCTTTCTCGCTCGTCGATTTTCTTTCCCCTTCGGCTGGTTGCCAGATAGATACATGGTCGAAGTGCGTAAATTTGCCGATTGGTCCATATGTATAAGAAAGATACTTTATCCATATATGTTCTTCTCTTCGTTTGATCCAGTATGTGAACAAAACTCTTCTAATTTTCTTTTTTGTTTTTTTTTTTTTTTTTATTTATATGAGAAATTAAAGTGAGCATAAACAACAGATGACAAAAATAAAACATAAAAAAAGAAGAAAATTATCTTGCATTATGCATCTTGACAAACGATGGCTAAAAAAAGAAACAACGACGAGTTGTTTTTTTTTACTCGCTTTGAGTAGGTTTTGCACGAGCAAAGGGCAATTAGGGTGATTGTCGTTGATAACTTGTGCGCACGCACGTATGTCAACGGCTCGTTTATTATACAAAAGAGACGAAGAAGCCTACTATCCTATCTTGTCCTTCCATAAAGGCAGGCATCTAGATGATTTGTCTTCATCGATCAACACAAATAGTTAAATGAACTAAAACCTAGTCAATTGAAGTCTCCACCCATTTTTCTTCTCTTGATTGGTTAATGGAAGAAAAAAACAGTTTATTATCTTTTCTTTGCTTTTGAATAAATCAAAATCTGAAGTAAAAAAATATAAATTGTTATGTTTTCAAACAATTCCCAAATGGATACGAAAAACAAAAAAAATCTTTTTACTTTCGACGCGGCAAAGATCACTTGATTAGAAGAAATAACAAACGCTTCTTCTTTTTTGTTTCTCAAAACAACAAGCAAACAAAAACTTGATGCTGCATAAAATTAAGAAATGCCAAGATGATATCTCTTATCTATATCGTTCGTCATTTGCATAGTTTGTTCAATGATGAACATATTCCTGTTATTGTTGTTGTTGTCGTTGTTGTTCTTGTCTGTTTAGTATAAATCTGCTAGATGAACTGTTACAATTATATAGTTTCTTTTTATTTTTTTTCTTGATAAAAGAAACAAAAAAGATTTTAAATTATACTAATGGGTTTTTATCACTGATTCGAAAGGAAATTAAAAAAAAAAAGAAGAGTCTTGATTAATATCATCCGTTAGAATATGTAGGAAATATGGTGAGCTTTCAGTTTTCTTATTTGACCAGTAAAACAAACAAATGAGATGATTAGTTCTTATAAGAAAGTATCAATTACATATAACAAACGACGAGAAAGAAAGAAAAGGTTTTTGAAAGAAATAACATATATGTATACAAATCGATGATTATTAAATTACTAATAGAAAAGAAAAAGAAAATCTCTTTTTTTTTTGTATATACAAAGTTGTTAGGAAAATAAACTTGTCCGATGGAAAAGAGCATGTCTATATCGATTAGCACTTTAGCAAAAGTTCACATCTTGTCTATCAGAAAAGATTACTTTCATTGTCTTCCTACACATATGGACAGATTATTGAAAGTATTTATGTCATGTATATTTCTTAAGATTTCAAACAATCATAAAACGTCAACTATTGTTTAGATTAGATTTCTATATTTTACTTCAAGAAAGATTTAGTCTAATAAATATAATTATTTTTGATAAATGTAGCCTTTGTAAAAACGAAGTAGTTCATGATAAGTTTTAGGTTTGTCAAGCATGCATGGAATAAAAAGTATCTAATAGTAGTTAAATATTGAATTATATTTCTTGTATTAGGAACAAACTACTATAATTCTATTTATTGTAAAAACAAAAAACACCAAAAATCTATGAAAAGAATAAATTGTTAATACGTAATATTAAATTAAAGATGGCCTCTAATGATCGATTAACTGAATAACAAGACAAGAATGAATTTGTTATAATTAAAAAAATTTTTGTTCACTTTCAATCAATGAATTATCATTTGTATATTTGGCAAACATTACATATACTTATTTAACTAGATTAATTATAAAAATCGTCTTCAAGGATGTTTATACTCAATCTTTGTTGATTTTAATAAATTCTCTGATCAACAAAATTCTATTGAAGATACTTTGGATCTAAGTCAATTAATCATATCATTGCCATAAATTTTTTATTTCAAGATTGATCAATCGATTTCTATTAATAAATAAAGGGCATCAAGATAAGTTAACATTCTAACAAGCTACAATAGGCAGAAACTAAAAATATGATATCATTGGTATGTTTTAAACATGGATTTAAAAAAATTTTGAAATTATTCGAACAAGTTGACTTTATGTCACTGTTTTTATCAATACGAAAATATTCATAGTTTATATTCATGGGAAAAATATTGATGTCGAAGTAATATTATTAACATTGATATAAGAACTTGTGCCTTCTTTGCGCTTTGAAAAATGACATCGAATGAAGGGATGTTAACTAATGGAGATAATCATCATTTTTCATGGCTGCAGTTTTGTAAATAACGAACATGTATCTTAATTTCTATTAATGGTAAAATAACTACACAAGATTCCACATATTCAGTTATATTTGAGAAAAATCTGAATGAATAATCGATGGACATGAATATTTGAAATTTTCAAAATTTCATAAAATATCGTTTCTTTATTGAAATTAATAATGATATTTTAATATAGCTTTACAAATGTTATTCTTATGACTACATAATTGACTTAAAAATTAGTATAGTTATTTAACTTTCTTCTCAGTAAAACAATTTTTTATTATGCCTCTATATTCAAATGACAGATCAACAAGAATTAGAGATAATCATCAATAAGTATTAATTCCTATTTACAAGGATAATTACTTTCTAGAAACTAATCTTGTTGTCAATTGTATAAATACTATTCAATTAATTTATTCATTAATTCATCATCTTAAACCAAAAGAAACAATTTTATCTAATGATTCCAAATACTGGATAGCCAAACTTTATTAAATGAGATATTCTAGATGTAGATTTGTTGTTTGCAGAAGAACAAATCTTATTTTATTCAATTAGATTAATTAAATCTATTGATTAATACAATTTGTCAGAACGAGCAAAATGACATTTTCGTTCGTTTTGCGTATTCTTCTTTTCTTTAAACGTGCTCTCTTGACAAATATTTTTAAGTGCATAAAATTTCATAAAATCGAACGTTTGACTAGATGTCGCAATAAATACAGATGAATTTCATAGTACAATTTCAAAACTAGTCTTGTTTAAATATCTTTCATTGATAAACATAATTGTTTAACATTTTCATTTATTTGAATCTACAAAAATTCTTTTCTTTCTCACTTTCTCAATAGTTTAACATCAATTATATAGTAAATCATATCATGAAAAAAAACCATGTGCTAATTCAACTGGATTTGATTAGTTAATAGAACAAAACTATCATATGTTCAAAATGAATAAGTTCAAAAATTTTTCATTCTGTATCATATCTATATCATTCAAGTTTAACATTACTATCCAGGGTAAAATTACATCATTGGCTACATATGAACATCGTTTTTCTTTCTCTCTATCACGTAAAATATACACACATATGTACATTTCTATTTCGTTCGAGGCATTCTATTCTATGTTTTTTTTTCCTCGTTATTTCGTCTCGAATATTCGTCGACTAAAGCGAGAAAAGAAAAATCTTCATCTATGTATTCATTCTTCAAAGTAAATGATAAGATATTATAGTAACTTATCCCATGACTAAAAGTAAAGAATAAGAGAAATAGATGTCTTTGTTTTATGTTTATCCCTGGCGAAAATATATGAATTCACTCTGTATTTTAGAAAGAAAAGAGAGAGTGTGTGTATGTTTTTGTAATCGCAATATTCTTTATCTTTGATATTATATTCGTACATTTAATCACAATCAATAAAAAAAAAAAAACAATTTGAATCAAATAAATATAAATCAATACAAATAAATGGAATCAATTCTCGGTCGTGGTTATTCAATAAATGAAGAATCTGATTTAATTAATCAATATTCACCATTATCAAGTACTATTGATGAAGATTTAGAACAAGATGATGATTTGTTCTATACCGAAGGAGATAATGTTGAAGAAGAAGAAGATAATTCATCTACTGTTCTAACTAGTAATGGAACACTGTCTTCGTCATCGATTGATGAAATTAGTGGTATGGGCTTAGGTAAGTAAACAAGAAAACTTAATTTATGAAAAATAAAAGACTTTCTTTTTTTTTTTATTTAAAAATAAAATTAAAGGTGTTTTTAAACCACCACCATTTAAAATGATGCCTATAGAAGCAACACCACCACCAACACCATTAATTCCACGTCGGTTACTTGATTCTATAAGTAGTACAACCAATGCTTTTCAAACTATGACAATTAATACTAATTTACCAATAACACCACCAAGAAGTGCTGATGTTACTAATACAAATTGGACATTAGGAAGTTCAACTAATGAAATTCGAAATACTAATTTATTATTTCCACGTATTAATGATACTACATCAAAGACAGTGACAACTACTAATTTATTAACACCAGCAAGTTTTGATCAATATTTTAGTAGTCATCGTCGTTTATCTGATTCAGCATTTACATCATCAACACGTTAGTTATATTAATAATTAGAATATTTTTATTATTTCTTAATTTTATTTTTGCTTTCATAGCACTTGATCATTCACTTACTATTCCATCTCTAAGCGCTACAACAAATAGACATCAATCAATTTCAGCTCAACATACTGATGTTGTAACCAATGGTTCGTATAAAAAACGAAAAGTATTTATAAAAAAATTTTTCTTTTTTTTTTTTTTTTGAAGAAACAAATCATTTATATCCATATATGGATCATGTTGTTGATGGTTTACCATCGAATATTGGAACACCTTGTGCATCATCAACAACATCTTGGTCAACATTAATTAGTTCAAATGGTACAACTAATGATGATACACTTTCATTTTCAACATTATCTCGACCACGTATTAATAGTAATTCATATGCACCTTCAACACCACAACTTAATTTTAAACCTCTTCAACAACCGTCACCACTTCAACCATCTTCACTGCCACCACCACCACCTCATTTAACAAGTTCACCATTTTCACAACGTATGAATGTGACAAATTCATTTTTTCCAGCAAATTCAAATCCAACACCAACAAATGGTCTATTTAGTCATTCACCATCATTTCATCCACAATCACCTGTTCCACATCAAACTCAACAATTATTACCATTACCTCAACAAACACAACGTCCATTATGGCAACAACCACCACCACCACCACCGCTACCACCACCATCATCATCAACACAACAACAGCATCGTTCATTACTTCCAATTGGTATGCCACCGCTTCATCACCCTCAACCATTGCAACAACAACAAACTCAACCAATAATGAATCAATTTCAATCGAATGATGCTTGGCTTTTAGCAGAAATGACAGCAATGTTACGTCAAAATCAACAACAACAAATGGCAGCTTTTAATGCAAACATAACATTAAGTACAGCAGCACAACAAATTCTGGCAGCTAATACAAATAATAATAATAATCGACCGTTACGTTCAGAAAAAATTGATATTGAAATAATTAAACATTTGATTCGCGAAGCACGATGGAAACGACGATGTGGAATGAAAAAAGAAGTAACCGAAAGAAAACAATGATATTTTTTTTCTAAACAGAAAAAAAATAACTTAATGATTTTTGTTTTTTCTTTTCAGGTTTGTGTTTTTTGTCGTAATAATGGTGAAAATGAACTTATTTATACAAGTCATTCATTAAAAGATTCAGTTGGTAATGTAACATGTCCAATTTTACGTGCTTATCAATGTCCAATCTGTGGTGCAACAGGTGCACAAGGTAATTTTATTCATTCTTCATTGTTTTCGAGAATAACTTACAATCTTAAATCTATTTCAAATAGCTCATACAATTAAATATTGTCAAGCAGCTGGTGATGATAATAGACATGTAGCAACTCCGTACGAAAAAATGATTCGTACACAATGTATGCAAACATTTGGACTTGATGATAATATGACAGCATCAATGCCAGCAATTTTTGGACCAATTGGTAGTAGTTCGCCAGCTAATAGTCCTGCTTCGCTTTGGCCTGCATTGAGTGGTGGTTGGTCTGGTAATAATTTATAAACAGGTAAATATTTATTTGTAGTGACGTAGCCAGCCATAAGTAGAGTCTGTCGGATATACCCGGATCGTCCGATCCAGGACCAACCTGAAGAACTCTAGCCATGGGTAATTGTTCACTATTACCCATAGCTGCCCACTAATTATAAGTTTGGCTGGAAAATGAACCAATGTTCAAAAACCCTGGTTACGTCACAGTTTATTTAATAATAAAATGAAATTTTCTTATTCTTTTTGAATATTTATAGTTGTCAGATAATCTCGGATTTTTTGCAAGCAGATGTTTTTTGTTTTAATAATACTTTGCAGCAAATAGTTCCGAATGATGAAAACAAGTATGTTTTTTTTCTCTCTCTTTATATCAGTGAATTTTTTTTGTGATTTATCTATCTTTATGTTTTTTTTCTTCGGATGTTGTTATTGCATCATAAGTATTATGAATCATGTTTTTTTTTTCTTCTTCTCTTCTTTTTTTTGTTTGTTTGTATTGTTAGCGATCAAACAAAAAATGACAAGTGATAGTGATTGTCTTTTTTTCTTTTTCAACTTCAGATATTTCAGGGAATCTTTTTCATTTTTTCTTTTTTTTTTTCTATAGCGTTTGTTTTAGTATGTTTGACTGACCAATATATAGAGTGATGTTTTTTTTTTTCTATCAGTTTTTTTTTGCGTGCGCACGAATTCCTCCATCAGTCGTGTTTAAAGAGTTTATAGTAGTAACTGTATTTCGTCTGTTTGTTTGTTTGTTTGTTGTGATTATTGTGAGCTTAGAAGATGTAATCTGCTCCTCTTTTTCTTTTTTCATTTTCTCGCTTTGATACCGACATACACGGTTTTTTAAGTATTCAAAAATAAAATCCAGTAGAGAAAATGTTCACTTTATTTCATAATAAAATTCACATTGTTTTAATTCTAGTTTATACGCAATTTAAGTGTTCAGATTTTATAGTGTAAAATCTACGTGACAGACAAAACATAAAAATTATCGCTTGTATGTTATTCGATTTTATGTTTATTGCTTTAAGAGAAGTAATCATTTGATGATATTAATTTAAATAATATAATCTATTTATTCTTGAGAGCTGCATGTATGACAGTTCTTCATCGAGAAACGAAACTAGTTTCGATCATGAATTTTTTTTGTAAGAAATAATGTCTCTAAAAATCTCATTTTATTTCTGCTAGATCACATACACACATCGTACACAAGTGTGCCGGAATAGAGCTATTGACAACTAACGATTAAGAGGAAGGCATTAGTTCAATGACTCAGCTCATGTAAAAATAATTTATGTAGTTTCTCTTTCAATAATGTTTTAAGAGTAGTGAGATAAAAAATGACATCTACTATCATTTGATAGAGCAATGTCGGAGGCACCGATCTGTGTGAAAATCAATCGACTCAACCTAACATACCTAAATCATTTAAATAATTCTTCTACGAATTTCTGTAGAAGAGTAATAACTAGAGGTGTAAGTTGATGCATGCATCAGCGACTAAAGTTTTTCGATGAATTCGTTAAAAATTCTGTTAACTTCGAGAAATTTTGAAATGAACAGGAGAGAAAACGATGGTAAAGAACTTATGGACAAAGAAAAACAGATGGTAACATCTGTAAAAACTGATTTGAGACGTCGGAGGTTTTTTAAAAACCAAAATATCTATTTTTATGTTGTGGCGGCGGTCGCTGAAACCTTCGACAACTACTTTAAACAATGACGGTGATACAACTGAATCGTTTGAGTCATAACGGTAGTTCAGCCGATCGGCTTACACCTCTGATGATAAATTTAGACGTTATACTATCGAATTAATTTAATAAAAAACAAGATCGTTGAATATGAATCAAACGCCTAAATCCATTGTCGTCCAAGGTTGAATGTAAAAAAATGACATTCCTTTGTCTGTAATTTCTCAGAACATAGTTGATGAAATACTTTCATTGCTTGATTCATTGAGCTTCACATAACTCAACAACTTCTGTTTTGCTCTTTCCAATACTAATATTTCGATGATAAAGTATATTTAATTAAAGAATTTCTTTGACAGAAAGAACAATTAAAAAGCATTACGTTATTCTATTTTATCGTATTTCTTTATGGTTCATTAGATATTTCGTTGTTTATTTTATTTATCTAGACGTTTCTTTCTATAACATAAAACTTAAGTAAAACAAAACATTCAAATTAAAAACAAAAACTATTCATGTAAGAAATAACTTTTTGATTATTTCAAATAATAAACTAAAATTATTTATTTTATTGTTACATACAGAAAAAAAAAATTTTTTTTCTTCTGTAAAGGTTGTTCATATTTGCTCATATTCATCCATATATAATAGTAAATAAAAATCACAGAAACAAAAGTTTTTCTTTTAAACATTAATCATTTTTAATGTTTTCGTTGTTTCAAATGATGATTTGGTAAAACTTCTTATTGGCCAATGAATTCCATCACAAAATGGTCTATGAGTTGATGGTAAAAAATTTTTATAAAGAATTTCATACCAATTATTTACACCTAAAAACATCTTCCAATTTAATATAAAACCTAAATCAAATCGATTAATAAATTTTTCTTTTAAATTTTTTAAACGTTTTCTTTCAGCTGAATTTGTATGAAATTCAATTGTTGTTTCAGCACGTGACACTAACCAACAATGCCATAATGTAAAACCAAGTAACACTATAAATGCTGTTATAGCAACAATAAATAAAAATAAAAATGTATAAGATAATGATGGATTGTTTATACTAGGTAATATTTCAGCTTCATTCAAATGTTGACCGAATATTAAATCCAAATAGGAAAAAATTTTTCGACCAAATAAATAATGTTGAAATTCACTAAAACCTAATGTTGCGGCATAAAATGCACCAATTGTTAAAAAGAAACAAAATTGAAAAAAATAACGATGATTTAAATGTCCAACACAATTATTTATCCATGGACAATGATGATCTTGATTTAATATACATCGTGCACATACAGAACAATGATGAGCACGTGTTGGTTTTGGAAAAATACATTTTCGACAAACATTTTCAGTGTAAATTTTCGAATGAATTATTGAATTGGAAGTGTTAAGAGGAGTTTTTGATGGCAATTGAGTATAATTGGAATCTAAGAAAATTTTTATTATTATTCTAATTAATAGTTGAGTATAGGATTTTTACATGATTTTCTTTTTTAGTTTTTGGTAGAAAACAATATTATATAATTAATCAATATAAAGTTTTTTTTTCTTAATCTTGTGCTTTCCCTTTTTTCTGTACAAAATATTTTAAATTAATGAAGAACTTTATTCGAGTTTTTATCAGAAATTTAAAATTTATGAAGTGAAATGTTTCAAACAATAATTTCTTATAGGGAAGAAAGTAAAATTAATCTTTGGATAACATCAATCAGAGATATTATGTCTCTTTAAAATTTATTTAATTGCAAAGCTTCAGCAATTTAAACTTCAAGTTAACTATTTTTTGTCTTGTTCGCACATGATTTGATAGAGCATCAACTGTCAATCACAAAGCACTAGGTTTTTAGCATTTATTAACACTCTCCAGAGGCATATTTTTTGTTTTAAAGTCTTCAAAATTTTCTATTTCACTCTTTCTGTCTGCTTCTGCGAATATTTTGTTTCGGACTTAATGCTAAAAAGTGAATGTAGAAAAGTTGTTAAATCGAGTTTAGCCCCAAAAGTCTTTCAATGATCTTGCCTCGAATCACACATATTGTAATATATAAATAGTCATTTTTGTAAAACTGCCCTATTTTTTCTAGTCAAGGAAGATAGTCAGATATTTTATCTCATTCGAATCATCGTTGTAGCAGTCATAAAAGTACGCATTATTTTATTTTTCTATATTCGTTGCTAAAGAAACTCAAATTTCTTTTTTATAAATTTTGACAAAATAGCTGCAATTCTACGAATAATTCTCAATTGTCTCTTCTGAAAACTGAACTTCTATACAAAAAAAGTAGCACACGTGTAATCAGCGTAACAAAAATTTGAGTCGATTGATATGTGTTTTGAAAACAATATCTGGTGTCTTTTCAGAAAAGACTCAAACAATTAAAGTCATCAGGAACGATAAATCAATGTGCCAATGGACTTAGGCTTTTACACTAATTTCAAAAATGATACTTTTATTCTATACAAGTTCACTTTTTGTGGAGAAAATTGAGAATTACGGGTAGAATTTCGGCTATGTCGTTCGAAAGTTAGAACAAATGAGCATTTTCAGCAATGAAGTAATATGAGAAGAAAAAAGATGCTTATTCTTATCATTGCTGATACGATGAATCGAACAAGATAATATATTCGACTGACTCGATTAACTAGAAAAGTAAATTAGGTTTGCAAATACGATTTCTATGCATTGCAATATGTGCAATTCGAAGCGCTACCATCGAAAGGCTTTTTAGGTTAAACTCAATTTAATATTTTGTTTATACTCAGTTTTTAACATTAAATCAAAAAACAAAAAATATTCGCCGAAACTGACAGAAAGAGCAAGATAGAAAATTTTATAGATTTTGAAAAAAAACTTTTCATCTTTGAAGAATAACAATAATCACTAATATCTAATTTTTCGTGATCAGCAGCTCATACTCTATGAAATTATGTGTGGAAAAAAACGAAAAAATTTACTTCTATGATGAATTGCCTGCAAATTAAATTAGACAATAATTTAATAGTGACTCCAAAGCATATTTTGCAAAGAAAAAAGAACAAGGAATAATTCATTTGCTGGACTATTCGTCTTATAATTATTTTACAACAAAAACTGATTAATATATGTGATGTTGATGATCTCATAAGTTTTATACCTTTTTTTTCAAAAACAACATTCTAAGTTTTCTTTAATCTATTGTATGCATGCATATGTCTTCGTTTTCTAATAAGGTTTAAAATTAATTTGTTTTTATTCGAATCTACTTTCTATAATTGATTTTCTCATTTATTCTTATATAGTTTTTGATGAATTATATTATTAAAATTAATATAATTTTTATTTCAAATTCCTTACCATCCTTTGTCAAATCTAATATTGTTACTTCATTCGATTTATTATTATTATTATTATTATTATTGTTCTTATCAATATTAGCTTGATGTATTTTCATTAAATCTCTATTTTCTTTATCAAAATCATATGGATTTAAATAACCAAAATTTGGTGATGAACCTGGATCAACTCTTACACATTGCATATAATTAAACATAATATTAATTAATAGCCAATGTGAAATAATAATATGACTAATAAAAGTCAAATAACTATGTTGTGCTTGAATTTCATTAAATAAATGAACAAATATTGATGTATAAAATATATAAACAACAACTGAAATAATAAGAATAAAAAAACATATAAATAATCTTCCAATATATTTTGTTAAACGATCAGTTAAAAAAAAAATTGGTTGTAATATTGTATCAATACGAAGATCAATTGATTCATCATAATTAAAATAAAATACACGATAAATTAAATATAATCGATGACAAAAATGTATTTCACGTAATTTTAAACATGGAAGAAAATTTCGACAAGCACAACGACATACACGCATTTGATAAATGTAACCTAGAATAATAGAAAAAGAAACCATATCAATTGCATGTAGGTTTTTTTTGTTAGTTATTTTTCTTTATTTTATTTGTTTTTTGTTGTTTTGGTTTATTAGAATCCAAAAAAAGTTTCTAAGCACATCAATCTTAACAAAAAAAAAAAAAACATATGATGGAACGATGACAAAAAATAAATTAAATCAGCCACGTATCCAATGCATCAAAGACTGATGGCAAAGACCACATGAGCAAGAACATTTAGACAAATTTTTACGTTGTCAAATTTGTTTCACGTAATTGCTCTTCAACATCATCAAGATCATCTGCAAATAAATCTTCATCAATTTCTACTGATTCTTCTTCGTCATCATCTTCATCTTCATCGTCCTTATTGACTGTTGACGTTGTATCATCAGAAGTTGTAGCTGACGCACATGCACTAGCAATATTACCACTAACTTGATCAAGTTTATTTGCTTCTTCCACAAGAGCAACTTAAGTTAAAAAGAAAAAAAGAATAAAAAAAAAAAGGACTTTATATTTATGGGCAAAACAAATGTCTTTTTGTTTTGTTTCAAACCTTGAGCAGCAGCTACTTCTCGCCTTTGTTGTTTTTCTCGTTCTATTTTACGATAATTTTCAAATCGATCTTCAGTTGCGATTGTACCCGTATTATCAACTTCACGTGCTTGTTTTGCTAATAATTCAATGTCATCTAAATCACGAATTGCTGGTTTTCGAATTGCTGATGCCTGAGAAAAAAAAAAAAATTTCTTTTTGTTTCTTTAGAATAAATTAAATATTCATACACTGGCTTGTTCAGTGGTTTCATTTTTATTTTCCTCTCCTTCTTCTTCTTCTTCTTCTTCTTCTTCTTCTTCATCATCAGATCGATGTCGATAATCAATATCATTATCAGCATCTTCATCATCATTAGCTATTAAATCTGGATTGAATGTAAACATTTCACGACCAGATAAACCAACTAAACGACCATGTTTAACAAAATCATTTCGTTTTTTTTCTTCATCTTTAACAAGTTGTTGTTTTTTCTCTTCAATTTTACGTGTTTTCCATGCAAGAAATGATTCCAGAGTGACTTTTGTTACACACACACCTAATGCAGCTCGTTCACTTTCAATTAAGTCTTCAAGTGAAATTGTTTCTTTTTGTTCTTCTAGTAATTTTCGTTCACGTTTTAACATAAAACCTATACATAGAATAGATTATAATCCAATAAATCATATTATATAATTCTAACCAGGTGGTAAAGCATGTCTATATTGACAAATAGGATTGTTTTCTAATAATAACAAAAAAAAAAAAGAAAAACCAAATATTTCTAATGATATTCAATGAAATAGAGAAGAATAACTTACGGCAAGTCCAAAACCATCCATATGTATTATTTTCAACAGCTTCAAGAAAATATTTGCATACCTACAATATAGTTTTAATTGATTCGATTCAATTTTCTAAGTGTCTTTTTTAGTACAGAAATAATAAACTTGAAAATACGAATTATTATTCAAAAGAAATTTTCACCTGTATTTAAACAACCCTGAAGCAATTTATTGAAACATGCATAGATAAACTGCAATGAAGCATTTGTCACTAGTTCTTTGTTTTCCATTAACAAGGGAAGTACTCCTACTGATTCATTGCTTTGAAGTTCAAACTATGTGCATCATGTAGACCCTAATAAGCTATGAATAATACTTTGAAAAGAGTTTCAATCCTTATCTTATTGCTGCTGAAATATTGCGCTGTTGCAGTTCTTTTAAACATCAATACCGTGGTCCTGTTCAGAAACACGAGGAAAATTTGTTTTCGAATTTCGAATTGAAACTTTCCATAGCGACAGGTCGTAACGAGAAAAGTTTATTGTGAAAGTTTTTGGTCTTTTGATCTGCTCCTTTCCTGAAATAAGAATATCAAAGATGCTCGCGTATGTGAGCAGTGTAAAAGACAAGCTTTTATTATAGCTATATCTTAGGATAGTAACAACGAAAATATCTGAAACTTTCACCATAACCTATCCTCAACAAAATCTTTCTCTATTGAAACACTAAGTTAAAATTGATAAATGAGTTGTTCTAATGTTTTTGACATGGACTTAAAAGATACCGTAAAAAAAGTAATATCTCAGCAGCAATAAGTTAAGAGTTCGAATTATTTTCGGGGGTTTTCATAACTCATTGGGTTCTATATGGATCACATAGCTTCGACTCAAAAACGATTAATTTGTTGAAAAAACATCTCTTATAAGCCAATTTACTAATAACTGAAAACAATCATTGATTTATTGCTGAACGAAAACACTTATGATTTACAAATTGAAAAATTAGTTGTCTCTGAAAACTGATAATAAACAATGTATTATCGTTTTTCTTTTATAATGAAAAAACCTAGAATCTCTAATCGTATTTCAATATCTGCAAAAACAATCATAGTTTCAAACATTAATAACATCGAAGTTACTGAATAGATTTTTATAGAAATCATAAATTATCTAAGAAACACTAATGAAAACAATATAACTCTTATGATTTATTAAATTTCGAGAAATATTTCTACAACAAATGAAGTTTTTCTCTAAAGTCAAAAAACAAAAGAAATAATTTATTCATAACTTACAATTTGCGTAGCATTTTTCTTTCTATTATCTTCACCATGTCTTCGTTCAACAACATCTGCTAATTGTGCTTCATCCCAATTAGCCATTGTTTCTAAATATAAATAAAGTGAAATAAAAAAAAACCTTCGTTTTTTCTTCCTCATTTTAACACACCATTTTCTTTATTTCCATTATCATGTATATCATCATATAAACTTCGTTTTTCAGCTTTACGTTCAATGGCAAGATCATGTGAAAATTTACATTTTGCGCCTTTTGCACATGAACCTTGCTTAAAATACATACATAAAACCGATTTAGGATCAGTTCCTAACAGAAAACAAATATGAAAACATTTACAAAACCTTGATTATCTTACCAGCAGCTAAAACTTGTTGAGTAATAACGGGTTTAAAAAGAGTTTGTAATTCCATTTCAGTTTTTTTCTTATCTTCTTTTCGTTTTTCTTTTTCTTCTTGCATTTTAGCAATCTAAAAAAAAGAAAACAAAATGATTATTGAAAATTAAAATATTATATAAATTAAAATAACGAACTTCTCGAGCTGATTTTCCAGCATTTTGTACTTGATTTTGTACTTGAGCAATGAATTTTTGATTTTTTGAACCTTTTTTATTTTTTAAACCAAATGTTTTATCCTAAAATTTGCCAAATAAAAATTTTAATAATTACTTTTAATAAACAATTGCTTTTTTTTATTTTACTTCGATTATTTTTGCTTTTGCTTTATCAACTGTTTTTTTACTTGCTTGTTGTTGTTTAGGAGGCATTGTTTATCTCAAGTTATAAAATCTATAAAAACAAAACAAAAAACTAAAAAAGACAACTTATAAGTTCTATACAATGCTGAAGGAGTAATAGTCATTGATTTCGAAATAAACGATATGTTTCTATTGGTTATTTTCTTTAGCAAATCATTTTTCATAAACGGAACTCTACGAAACAGTCATAATCGATCACAATGACAAAAAAAAATAAACAATCAATTATGTGAATATATATGTTGTTTTGGAGATACAGCAGGTTTGTTTTCGTTTTCAGTTATGTTGGTTGGAAAAAGAGACAACAATATGTTTTTTTTCTTTTCCAAATGGTGGTTTATTTATTTCATTTACACAATGGAAGAATAAGCGAGCAGCTTCACTGACTTCAATATTAAGTACCTCAAGGAAAAGTCAAGTATATAATGCACTAAAGATTTTTAGAAAATGTTGTGTTGTACATTCTACTGAAGAAAGCAATGTACCTAGATGATACTCTGCAAAGTAGAAACAGCACTTAGCTTACTGATTGCAGTATTATTGAGACATTGCTGGTTTTTCTCTTATTTATAAATTGTAATGTCAGATGAAGTTATAAAGTATTTTCTTTTATTCTTACTAAATTTATGATTAAAATTTCACTTTTGCTCGGTTAAGATTTTCGATAATATTTGTTTTACATATTTTATTCATTAGTTCTTATTGGATATATTAAATTAGGCAATGTAAAAGAATCAAGTTTTTTTGTCTCGCGACAAATGTATTAATATTTATAAACAAGAGCAATAATAATTACTTTCAATTTATTCTTTTTTTCTATTTCTAATCGATGTATCATAATAGAAATTAATTCAGTGTAGTATTTCTTACGCCTAGTAAGATTAATATGTGCATATATTATTATCGTTATCTATACATTATTTGTTTTATATTGTTTTTTTTTCTCTACGCAGGAATCTGTTTTCCATAATAAGATACAAATAGTTATAACTTCGTCTTTGTTTTTTATTAATCAGTTCTTGGCTATGGCACTTCGTGTTATATTTCTAATGGAAATCATGACAAAGCATTGCAAAGTACTAGAAGAAATTTTTAATAATTCATTGAATTCTTTAAGCGCATGAAAGAGTAGAGAATTGCCGGCAGCTTTTCCGGAAATAGCTTAAAAGCTATTAAATCCAACCAATTCTAATCTTCAAATGTTCTAAAGTTTCATTAGAACTCAACGATAACTAATTAATTTCCGTTGATTCTAGTCCACATATTTTATTAATGTATGAAGTTTCTGTATTTCTTCTTTTTTTTTTTGTTTTATAAACCTTTAGTTAAGGACGAATGTTCTATCCTCAAAATATCAAACAGATTGAATCGACTTAGAAATGTTTTTCTTTTCTGTCCTACTAATGATGATACGTTTTATATTTCCATAAATAGTCAATCAATTGATTGACGTCACAAACATGTAGATTATCATTTATTTAATGTAGAGAATTTTTATGCCATTGCTAATACAAGCATGAACATGAGTAAACAGGACGTGGACTTCTTTTTTTTTTGTTCTTATTATTCGAAGAAAAGAAAGAAAAAACAGATGCTATAGAATAATCATTGACTTTTATTTTGCTCGTTAAGTGTTCCGATTGAAAAAAAAAAAAAGAATGTTCTTCTTTTGTAGATTTTCTTTTCTTAACGTTAATAAGAGCAATGGGTAAAGGAGCTTTTGATGAAATTGGTTCAACACGCGTTACGTTAAAATGGTTTTCTTGTATGGTATTAAGTTCACAAATAGTTGGTGTTATTGCCATTATTCTTCTAGCCGTTCTTTTTGGTCAATATCGTGGTGGTTTTGCATGGACAGTTAGTGACCTTTTTTTTTTGTTTTTTTATATTATTTATTAATTTCAATATCTTTTGATTTCAGTCGGATATTAATAAAGAATTTAATTATCATCCTTTATTTATGACATTGGGTATGATTTTTTTCTATGGTGATGGTAAGTTGTTATTTTTTTTTTATGTGTATATTGATTAGTTTGAAAAACAAAACCAAATCTTTTTTAAAGCTATTTTGGCTTATCGAGTATTTCGTGATGTGAAAAAACTTCGTGTTAAAATCCTTCATGGATCTTTATTGGCACTTTCACTTATATTTGCATCAATTGGTCTTAAAGCTGTTTTTGATAGCCATAATTTAGCTGATCCACCCAAACCAAATCTTTATTCACTTCATTCATGGGTTGGTCTTACAGCTGTTGTTTTATTTGGCGCCCAATGGGTATGTGGTTTTGTTAGTTTTCTATTTCCGAAATTAAGTGAAGAGATTCGTAAAGCTTATATGCCAAGGTAAATATGAAATTCGATTGAATTTTTACAAAAATTGAATATTGTGTTTGTTTTTTATTTAGTCATAAATTTTGGGGTAAAGCTATTTTTATTCTTGCTGTTGGAGCTGTTCTAATGGGTATTACGGAATATAGTATTTTGTAAGTTATTAAAATGGATTATGTTTATTTTTATTTATAATATTTGTTTGTTTTTTAGTAAAAGCATTTATGGCGATGATAAAGTAAAATATCAACGAAATTTAATTAATTTCTTTGGTGTTTTTGTTCTTATATTTGCTGGTATTATTCTTTATCTTGTTAGCAATCCCGGTTATCAACGACCACCGGAAAATGAAATTGAACATGTACCTTTGGCTGATTAAGAAGAAAAAAAGAAAGAAAAAGTTTTACATAATCAGTATTATAATACAACAAGACAAGATCTGTAACAGACAAATAATAAAATATTTATATACATATATATATATATATCAATATTATTTATGATTGTTGTACCGTAATGTTCTTTCAATTAATTTCATTATTTGTTTGTTTTTTGTTTTCTTCATAAATCTAAATGTTGTCTTTTCGAAATGTTGATAGAGGATGATGTTAGTTTATACTTTAAAGAAAAAGAGCTGTGAATATATTATTAATGAGTTTTGAATTTGGGAAAGTGTTTTATTATTGTATTGTGATTGAATATTTATTATCTGGTGGTTTTCTTTTTTAAATGTTGTCTCTATCTATTCGAATTATAACAATAAATCACATTTGATGTTGTGTGTGCTCAATCAAAATTATCTATCTAAAAAATGACGATACTAGTTATTGAAATTTTTCCTTTTTGTGTACTCAAAAAGTGAGTACACTAGAATCGGTCAGTGTGTCCGTCCGGCCGGCCGTTAACACGATAACTTTTGAAAGGAGAGTCCAATCGCGATGAAATTTTCTACACAGTTTAGTCTTAACAATGTCTCGGTCGAGTTCGAAGATGAGCAGGATCCGTCAAGNTGTTCGATAGAGCTTGAAAAGCTGATCACGAATATATACTTTTTATTTTGATTTGACCATTGTATGACTGAGAAAATCTTAAAAAACTAGAAGAACTAAAAAAATATCATTTTTACGTTGAATTTGTTTTTTCTACAGAAATTATCGAATTTCAATTTCAGTTATTTTGTGAGCTTTTTAAACCTAACATATTCGGAATCAGCATCAAAACCTACATCAAACCATATATGCTTTGGTAAAAACTGTTTCCGATGGAAAAACGACCGCTAGGGGAGTAGGGGGGAAATTGAAGGGAAAAAGACCTGAGGGGGACCACAGACCGGTTTTCCATCGGAAACAGTTTTTACCAAAGCATATATGATTTGATGTAGTTTTTGACGCTGATTCCGAATATACTATCTGTTTTGCATTTTGATGAAACCATGATAATAAAAACGCTGATTTCAGACACATTTTTTCTTCTTTTCGTCTCATGTTGCCACTATACGAGAAAATATTCAATTCTTTCACTAATAAAATAGAATTTAAAAAAACGAAATACGTACTTTTGTAGCCCATGGTCTAATGGTTCTAATAAGATAGAACAGTTGCTTCTATCTCTTTTTAAAAAAAAACTAGATAGGTTTACAAGAATGCTCACTGATACATACTTTTAGCTTGATGGACCTATTTATATTAGATAGAATTTTTTTAGCTTTATTAGCTCTATATTTAATCAAATAACATTTTTGTACTTAGTTTTTCATGCTGATTTCGAATATGATAGGTTAAAAAAGTTCATAAAATAACTGAAATTGAAATTCGATAATTTCTATAGAAAAAACAAATTCAATGTAAAAATGGTATTTTTTTAGTCCTTCTAGTCTTTTAAGATGTTCTCAGTCATACAATGGTCAAATCAAAATAAAAAGTATATATTCGTGATCAGCTTTTCAAGCTCTATCGAACAGTGTATAAACGAACGAAAAATAAAATCCACTGAAATTTTGCATTAGCGGCACCTTATATACAAAATTTAATAAAATTCAATAAAGAATATACTTTCAAAATTTATTCGAACATTTTTCCAATTCGCTTACAAATGTCGACCATTGATCTTTGTTTTCCGAAACACTATTATCAACATATTTTGCAAAATTTAACATACATTGTTCAAGCATTCTAAAAAAATCAATTTAACATCAATAAAAAATATTTAAATCAATAGATATTAACTTGTAAAAAGACATGATCATTTTGAATTTAAAGATGTATAGTTTTTTTTTCTCTTCTACTTGATCAAACATTTCCCCTCTGGGAAGCATTAAATATGATTTGAAAATCGAAGAAACATCAACGTGTCGGTGCTCTTCTTCTTTTTTTTAGCTTTTCTCCACACGTTGATCAATTGATTACCGGAACTAATGAGCTTGCTTTTTTCTCTGCATTTTTAATTCTCTAACCATCACGAACGGTGTATCAGTTTTTCAGAGCTAAAAAGAATATGCCGAATCGATCAGCGATCGATATATCATTAGCATTCAAAAAAAGCAAAAAACAATCACCAATCCATGACAACTATTTTCAAACAATTATCAATGCTTTTTAATTAATCAAGAATAAAATCTATTCTGTTTTCTTTTTTATTTATATAAGATATGTATTTTGTTACCAAGTTTTTAGTACTAGTAATTCTATATTAACAAGCAATGCTTTTTCTTATCTCATAAATCCCAATTCTCATAGGCGATTTTCTTTTAGCAAGGACATACATTCACATATATGTTTATTTAACATTTCAATATAAGAAGATTTTTCTCTCTTTCCATGTATTTATATATATCCGCCACCCACAGTTATTGAGACCAAAATCATAGCCTAATTTGCTTTGTTCTTTAGTCATCGGTATCGATCCTATATATGCATATCATTCTCAGTGGAATATAACTCCAACATATCAATTAACGAAGTCCAACATCCTAGATGTTTTCTCACCGAGGGAGTTGCACCGAACACATATAGAGATAAAAGTAAAAGAAACGAAGAAAAAACAAGAAAAGAGGACAAGAGAAAAAGAGAAGTAATTACTTATTGTCATTTTCACTATTTATTTTTTTTGTTTCATTTGGGAATCTTGTATTCAAAAAAACAAAAAATAAATTGCGAACATAAAAAAAAACTTTTTTTTTTTTCTTTTCGAACGATTGTCGATATTCATTTATTTCTTATACATGTACATATATAAACGTTACTGACATGAATATAATTGATTTTTGTTCTTGTCTTTCGTCGGAATGATCATTATTTGTATTGTATTCTTCTTCTCTCTAGTCTGATTGTGCCATTATCTCTTTTGACAATCGATAAATGTCTTTCCTACTGTAATCGTTTTTACAGACAATAATGACTAATAGTAATTTCTTCGACAAACACACACCTGTTTTTATCTTACTCTGACATCATGATCGATCAGTTTTCTTTTTCTCTAGATGCCATCAGAACATACCAGTTCGATTTACTAACACTAATAGATTACATTTTTCAAATATTTTATAAACAATTTATAATCAATGAACAAAAAACAGATAAATTCTCATTTAAGTTTTTTAATTACATTTTTATTTTTCAAGTATTTAATTTAGTTGAGAAGAAAATAGAAAAGAGGAAAATTTTGCTTTCACAGACTTCTTGCTTGTTTTGACTTGATGATTCGTTCTCGACCGATGCGTTATCATCATTACTCGTTTACTTTGCCTTTTTCTGTTATCAGTTTGCTTGTACATCATCAGCAATACTGCACGAGAGAAGAAGAGAGAGAGTGGAGAAGACAAGGAACGATTCTTAATTGCTATTCGATCCTTCCATCAAGCGCAGTTTCAATCGACCAACCAGATAAAAGGAAACTATAGAAAAGAGGAAGATATGGCGAGAGAGAGAAAGAAAAAGAAGATGCATCGTTACGAAATCCAGCAATAGACTTTTGTTTTTTGTTTGATACATATTATTAGATTGAATATAGTCTAATCAATTGTATTTCAAAGTCTTTGAAATCTTTTCACAATGATGACAGATTTTCGCAGTTGTCAACAACAGTACTGTGATGGTCCATCGGTTTCACCAACACCTGTTTCTGTTTCATCTTATGGTGCCTATTTTCATCCAAACAGTGCACATAGTCCAGCAACTCAATTGTATTCAACTGTTGATGGACAATATGCTGCTGTTGCTCAATTTGCACCATCTTACGCATCACAATTTTATCATCATCATCATCATCAACAACAACAACAACATCCATATTCAACAAATATTCGTGCATATACAACATATGATATTGATTCATCATCAACAAATCCAACATCAAATACATCATCATCATTTTTACCACATTATTCAAGTCTACAACCAACTAATTCATCTTATATTCATATTCGAGCACCATCACTTTCGCCACCATTACCTTCATCTGAACTTAGTTCAGAAAAATCTCATATTAATAATACAAATAATTTTTATCCACCACCACAATTACAATCAACAACAACAATGTCACATGTTTCACCAACAAGTTCAATAATGTCATCTTCAGCAGCTGGATCACAATCTCCATCCAGTCATTCATGTGATGAACAATCAAATTTAACATTAACACCACATAAAAATGAACTACATACAGGTACAACAAATGATCTAAATAATACATCAATATCTGTTACTGGTTCATGTGATGGTACTCGTCGTTGTCTTTTATGGGCATGTAAAGCTTGTAAACGTAAAACAGTTACTGTTGATAGACGAAAAGCTGCTACAATGCGTGAAAGACGACGTTTACGTAAAGTAAATGAAGCATTTGAAACATTAAAAAGACGTACATGTCCTAATCCAAGTCAACGTTTACCAAAAGTGGAAATTTTACGTAATGCTATTGAATATATTGAAAATTTAGAAGATTTACTTCGTTCTGCTGGTGTCACTTCAAGACCATTAAGACATGAATTAGATCAAAAACCAACCACAACAACAACAACAACAACAACAACAAATACAAATGAAGTAAGATATTCATAAGATCAATAGAATATTAAACTATTTGGAAAAACAATAAAATATTCCATGAAATATAAAGTTATATCATTATCTTTATAGCTTCTTTTTTTTATTAATTACATTAGTAAAGAAAAGATAGGTCAATATCTTTATAGTTGTAAATCGAGCTCCTCATTAGCTTTTTCTTCTTTTACGTCGATTCTTACTCGACTGTATCTATCAGAATGAGCCTTGTTAAGAACAAATAAAAAAGAAAAAACAAGAAAAGAAGAAGAAACGTACAGAACAATGATGATATATTCTTAATATCAAGTTCTTTCTTTATTCGTTTGATGCTCTGCATTGTCTTTATTCTAATGTGTTTGATCATAGTACTCTTCTTTCTTATCAACAATAATTGAATGTTTATATTTGAGAAGAAAATGATCTTGTCATTCTGCACATTTTCGTCTATTGTCTTTATGAGACATTAAGAAAAATACCAGACATTGATCTTTATATACATATATTTAGTTATTAAAATCAAGATCTTCAACGACAAACTACAGTGAAAAATATAATAATAATAATACAACAGGAACAACAACAACATCAACTGATTATAGTAATAATAATCCATCAACATCGTCTGCCTATGGAAAAATTGATAGTAAGTTAATAAAATAAGTTTATTTTTAAAAAAGAAAAATATGTAGTTTTTTTTTGAATAATAATCGATTTTACATATGTAATATATCGATCATTTTAAACGATTAATGTCGAATAAGTATTTAAAAAAAAATCAAATGAAAAGAAATCAAATGGATCATAAGATTTCTTTCTCTTCATAATATGTTTCGCTTCGTCAAACGTGCTAAATAGCGTGTTGATGATGATGATGATGCAAATGTATTTTTTTTTTGATGTTTTAAGAACACATGTTGTGTAAATGAAAGACAGTATGTTTGATATGTATCTTTCTCATCGAAGTAAGGCGGAGGTGCTGTCATAATCATCATCATCATCATCATACTTGCTCATCTATGTAGACGGTTGTTGTTGTTTTCTAGTCAGTCAATCATTAGATATACATATATAGATATTTATATATATATATATATATATACTATTTTCAGATTATGCTGAAGTCGTATTACCACATCATACAACATCAACTGTATCAAGTCTTGATTGTTTATCAATGATTGTAGAAAGTATTGATCCAAATAAACTTGTTAGCTCATCTACAACTACAAATGGATCATCGAACAATGCTATTTTAAATCGATGTTGTTGAAATAAAACAAATGTTTTATGTACAGTTTAGTCTTGTTTCTTTCTTCTTTTTTCTTTTAGTAATTCATCAATTCTATGAACTAACTATTATACAGACAACAATAAAAAAAAAAAAGCGATTTTTTTTAAAGTGCTCATTTTACTTCTAATATCTTTACTATGAATATTCGAATTGAAAAAAAAAAAAAGAAGTTTATCATTGTTGCTCTATTGTTGTTGTTGTTTTTTTGTATTTAAAAAAAAACTCATTTTTTTGTTAAAAACGTTTCCATAACATTTACTAATTGATTAATAATGAAAGAAATTTATTATGTATATTATTTGGCAAATGAATCAATGAATGAGACAAGATGATAATTATGAGAATAACTGTTTAACTGTATATTTAAAAAAGTTTTATCATGTTTTGTTTTTGATTAACGAGTACATCTTTAAATAATATTGAAAAATAGTTTGTAAAAAATAATTCATCATCGCGTTGGTTGAAGGAATCGATATTCTATACTCTCTTCAATTAGAAGTAGAACTTAGATTTTGATTTTGTTTTTTTTTCAAAAATTTTATATATGTTGTTAGTATAAATTGTGGATGAGTTGTACTACACAATCATACACGAATCATCTACAGATACTATATCTATCAAATAGAGAATGAATAAAAAAAAAATATACAAAATTTTTGAAAAGAAAATCAAAACTTTCTCGAGCATACAGTTATATAAAAGACTTTCAATGTAGATCTTGTATGAGTATTTTTGATATTTTCCGAAATATTTTTTAGTCGATGAAAACAAAGCGATATTTTTCCAGAAACTTTTGCATCACCCATTGTATTGTTACTTTGTCTTTCTATTAAACTTAAAAATTTGTTTGAATTGATCACAATTCATTGAAAAATATAGAAATTCTATTATAGAAGTGTTTTATTAAATTCAAGAGTCACAAAAGAAGAAATAATTTAAACATAATGATCAATAAACAAATGACGTTCATCGATGAATAAACATTAAAAACAACTAAATAAATAGTAAAAAATGAAGACACAATTAC